ATGGTGCGCTTAATCGTGACTGGGGATAACCTGCAACCAGAACAAGGAGTTACGCTAACAGATAACTTAGTATTTCCGTCTATTAACTTTCGTGAGCGTGTGTCGATGAGTAGATTGTGGTGTTGTAACAGGTCTATACCAATGATTGGCGTAGAGACATCTGCAACAACGAAAATCCAGTGTATGGGTTTGCGTAAACCCACGTTAAGGTAGACGTACCATTTACCGTAAGTAGCGATCGGTTTTCCGTTTGCCGCCTGTAAACTTAAAACAGACTCGCGAAGTCTGTCGTCGGGATTTGCTGGAAGAACGCTAACTGCTGCTCCAGTGTCGACGAGGTAGCGAACTTTCGCAGACACATCCGTGACGCATAACAGACGGCTGTGTTCGCCGGCTACGGTTGCCGTTAACGCGTGCCGGCTGGGAAGTTTCCCGAAATCTTATTCGTGTCAGTCGATTTTGAAGTCGGATAATTGCAAGGTTTCCTGCCATTTTTGGAAAACTTGCCGTACTGGTTATGATACCAGCACCAGTCGGGATTGTCTGTCTCTCGTGGTCGAGAGCCAGATCGCTTGCGTGAAACGCTTCTACGCGGGGTTTTTGACCAACTACGGTCATTGCGAACTCTAAGATATCGTGTAAGCGTGTGACATAGTTCGGCCATGTCAGTCGAGGTCGATTGGGGTTTTTCTTTGACGGAAAAAACCTCGGCCTTAGAAGATCAAGTGATGTCCAAGATTCGATCGGCAGATGCGGCTAGTTCATCTATGGCATTGTTTTGAAATGAAACAAGCACTGCCTGCACCTGTTGAGGGAGTTTAGACAAGAAAAGTTGTCTAAATAGGCCATCATCGAAAGTTCGTTGGCCGATGACTTCTCTCATTCTAAGCAACATGTCCGTCGCAGAACCATGTTGCAAGTCGATATTGTTAAGGAGTTGGTCTAACCGTTGTCGATCAGTTAGGTCTCCTCGTTTTAAAATCGATAGCTTAAGCGATTCGTAAGGTTCAGAAACATCACTAGTAAACATACTAGGTGTTACGTACCTGTTAAACTCGCGCGGTAACGCCTTAACTACCACGAGGAAACGTGTGCGCGAGTCCGTGATTCCGTGCATGCTAAAATCGGCTTCTGCGTAGCAGAACCAGGACTTGATATTGTCGGGCCAAAATGGCGTTAACTGAATCGAAATAGGGGGAATAGACTTAAACTTAAGAACCTTAGGAGAGTGTTCCGTCATAGCAATATAGATATCGAAAAATGTCTAAGTAAAATATATCCGAGAAAAAAAACTGCGAAAAAAAGTATATCACAATATATAAAATTCAAATAAAGAATAACAATGAATAATAATATTCCAAAATGGAACAGACTCACAGTATATTGACTTGGTGTACCAGATCACGTCGGGTTCACCAATGATGATGCAACGGATGTTCTAGTTTTACAACTAGCTACCAGTAGCACCTTCTATATTTGATCGTTCCCAGTCAGATAGAAATCAGAATTCAGACGAGAAGAGGCAGGAAAGATATATTTGATTCGTTACCAATATATCGAGGACCTTTTCTATGAGCTGGCTAATGAAACGTAGGAGCTGTGTCCCACGCCGAGTCGAAACGTGATCTGGTACGGATGCATGACCGAAAGCCTTCAGCTAAACAAGTCCACTTAAACAACGTGGTCAGCATCCAATGTCGAACACTTAATGAGCTATTGATTTTGGGGAATTATTTACAGCTACAAAATCATGATTAAACGAACGCAAATTTGATCGACCCTGAGATTTTATTTCATCATGACGACTAAGCAAAGTATTAGAAATTTTCATCGATTGAATATCAAGCTCATTCACTGCTTCGTAGTTAATACATGCAGTTCTAGCATCTTGAAAAGAACAGTTCGGGATTCTTAAAAGCTCCTTTTCCAGACCTGGTATGTTAATTCCAGCAATTAATCGATCTCTCAGCTGTACATGAAGTTGATCACCAAAATTGCATTTCGCAGCTTGTCTTTGCAATTCAAGGATGAAGTTCTTAACCTTCTGGTTATCCTGACGAATCATCTTATGAAATTTTGCTCTCTCACGACATTCAAAACTGGTGCACTTCACATGATTTAATAGTAATTCCTTGAGAGTTGAATATGGAAGTGCGATCGGCTTATCTGAATATGCCAAGGTTTTTAGTAAACTGTAGGCTTCTTGACCGATGAATGTAAGGAAATGGGCCACAATTTTGTCACCCTTCATATCTTTCTTGGTCATGCTCCATATCCCAAACCTTTCAAGATAATCCTCAAAAGCTTCAGAAGTTGAATGAATGTCCAACTGTTGTATCGCAGGCTCCATCGCGACGCCAATATGATAATCAGAAGTATTTGAATTGTAGTATAAACTAGTAATCCGAGGAATAACTCAATGTAATCAAGAAGTATTATATGAGTCCGAACGAATATATTGTGTTTGGAATTCAAAATTACAACAGTCATCATTACCAAGAAGTCATTGATTTATTTAAACATCACAAGATGTCATGATGTGACTGCCTAATCTATAAGATCTTATTCGGAAGTGACATCATAGTCTGCACTGGTTCGTTCCATCGTGATAAGCAGCAAAGTGACGCCTAACAATTCTGAAGAACAAATTTCAGATTAGGTAGGGAGTAATATATTCAATTCAAAGGCAGGTGGTTACATGGGGTGTTCACGCCTACATGCTTGGGGCATTGTGATATTTATAAGTATTCGAATTATTATATGAACTAGGAATCCTCGAAATAACTCAATTTCAGTCAGACAGAACTAGGTGAGCACAAACAAACTTATTGTATTGAGAATTCGAAATCAGGAACACATCAAGTACATAAAAACACCACAGTCATGCCATCCCGATCAACAGTTGCCGCGTTCGACACTGTTGACCTGTCCTGAGTGTTAAATTTTGAATATAAGTTTTCCCAGTTGTTTCATTTTCAGCCTCAAGGATCGTGTGGTTAGAACCGACACCACCAAACATGTCTTGTTAATTATCACAGTTATTATTACTTCACATCAATAAATAATTCCTATATCTTTCGTTATCGGGTCCGTTTCCCCTCTTATTCTTTCAGTTCCATCATCTTACAGACTGAAAATAAATTGACTCGTTTACTGTTCTTGAAAGAAACGTCTCTTCATAACATTCTAATTATCACTTTATTATTTTTACATTGCAACCAACCAACCTCCTGCCGGATGATATGATAGTTGCTGGTATTCCAAAACCCTATTGTTCTGAAAAATCTCACTCTCTCAAACTACACGATATACGAATCTACAAACAACTACCGATTGACTAGAATTAGTGCAGTCGAGTGACTAGGCAACTACCTAATCGACATTACCAAATGCCTGGAACCGTACTGGAAGAACAAGAAGCGAGCGCAGAGAAATCAATAAGCATATACAAGCTCGTGACGAATATATCGGACGTTGAAATAATAAACTTTATCCTACTAATGGATTAACAACAGTGTTTTCGTGAATATAACTTGTCTTCAGAACTTTTAATTAGGAATTAAATAGTTAAATGTCATCAATTTTTGGGCATCGACATAATCATGGATACCTAAATATTGGTCTATTTTCTGATTCACAATTCCATTGACCAGGAATTTTGATAACAATCGTTTTCATCAGAAAGTCTACCAAGAGAGTAAATACATCTTATGAATCCCTATACTCTAACTCAATTGGTTAAGTCAGGTCTCATCTCATTATGTTAGCTTGATGGGTTACATAAAGTGGTATTTGTCAGAGGTACTCATTCTTCTTACCTTCATTGAATATCATCCCAGACACGCTATCAGAAATGATTTTTTGACTTATACGGAAGTATGACTTTCTTCACTTGGTTTAAACCTTCTTAAATTGGTTTGACCTTTTTAATGTCTATTTGATGGTTTTTGAAAATGGAATGCAATACTGAGATTCACGAAATCTTTTTATTTACCCAATGCTGTTCATGATTACAGCTTTGTGTATACCAGTATGGCTTCTGTAAGGTAACTAGGTTCAATAGAATTTTGGGAATATAATTGTTTTTGAAAATTTGTTTCACTAATTATCAAAAAGATTGACACAACCCTTTTCTGTATTACCGCATCTATTGTGGTAGATAAGCCTTTATGTCTAGAGAATACTTTTGTCTCGTTATTCTAATGACATCACTAATCCTATTTCTCTGTTCTTGATGTCAATTCTTACAGGAAATTTTCGATACTCTTGTATTGACATACTTTTAAGAAGAGAACACGATTGGCATATTGGGAATAATAATAATTATAACCAACTGTACCAGTGATTGTTTTACTATACTTCTTTGTTTAAGTGTACCAAAAAGCACACTTCCGTTTTTTGTGAGCTTGCACGAACTTTTGTACGCTCAGTAGTCTCGCTTGTGGATTTTGGCACGATCTCGGTATTCTTCCGATACCATGAGATCGCCAACAAATACATCTTACTATAACCTTCAACTGCCTTCTGATATTTGGCCTTCGGAGGGGTCTAACCTAGCAATTGACACGTAGTTTTTCTGTAGTGGTGATCATAATCAATCGCGACTCAACGCCTACTACATTATCATCTACTATTTTCCTATAACAGTGGTTAGTAATTAGTAATCACGGTCTAAGGCTTATCTCTTTCTACTGAAGATTCTTTGGTAGATATAAACAGATTTCCCAATATCAGTATTCTCTTGAATTCTCTACTCTTGTAGTTATTGTACCAAAAGTCAGTAAATATTGTTAATTATTTTCAGCATGCCCTGGGTAACAATAAGGTTCCCAGTTATTTCTCTTGTAGTACACACTAAAAGTAATTTCAATACAATTGGAGGTCATCAACTATTTCCACATTATACTAAATAAATGACCTAATTTTTTTGCACTGGAGACAATGTCTCGTTTGATAAATGTTTCTTGAACTAACCTTTTAAACTATATTGATAAGATATTTAGGAATTTAAATATATATCACAAAATTCTACTTGAAAGAGATTACATGACCTTTTAGTTAAATGAAGTTTATGTATGACAAGTATTCTGGGAGTGTACAAAGAAATAAATATTATCGGTAAAATATGGCAGAAATTACTCAATTAGATCGTCTGTTTTGTTGATATCAGTTATACAAAATATGTATAAACCAAGTTTACTGTAAGAATGCCTTCAATTGTTCTTGAACTGGTTTTTTGATAACGTCGTCATCACATGAAGCTAGTTTTGACTGTACACAAATGATATATTGTATCTTACATTCTGCATCTTCTTTACATTCCATTAGTTTATCTTGGATATCTTTTGTTTCTTGGATAAGAATGGCATTAAAATTGAAGTAAAATAATGTAAATAAGTTAAAAAAAATCATAAAATGAAACAATATGTCTGCCGAGTCTGAGATTGAGTTTGGCAGAGTGACTGATCACACAGATTAGACACATAAGTAGTGAAAGCTTAGGTGTATCGAATCACCTATTTATCTTGAAGTGATCAGTTTCTTTATACATAAAAAATACAACCACACAAGTTATGAAGATATTCACTAAATAAGTATGAATTATATATAATATATATACTTCATTTTTGGTCGGTATGACAGTTTCTAAGTATTTGCGTTTTTAAGACCAGTCTAGGAAAAATTTCTTCAGTATACTGATTTATATTTTTGGTTACCTACGGGCTCATAAACATAAATAGTTGTGTGGAAATTAAATAACCAAATGGAAAAATAATAATAAATCGTATCAATAACAACTTGCCATAAGTAATAATTTATCAAAGTGAATTTTCAGTATGTCCAATTATTCTTCAGTAAGGGGAAATAAATAGCAACCAAGGGGTACTCCATGAAAGGTTACATTGCACAGAACAACATGTTGACAAAGAAAAAGACTTCGAACTGGTCAAAATATCTTTGTAAAAGCATTCTTGACCTAAATTCATAATTTACGGTCTCAAATTTAACTTTACGGTTCAAAGTGTACAACTAGTATTTTAAGTAAAATCAGTCAATAAGATCTACCTTTGTTTACAAAGGTAGAGAAAATGCATTGTCGAATGAATTGTTTTATAAATGAACTTACGATCTCTGAATTTTTCCATTATACAGTTGGGAAGATCAATCAACATTTGTACACATTTGTCGAATCCTGTTGCCACAGTAAGAGAATGATATGAAAATATTAACAAAATTAGAATAAATTTTAACATTCCTCCTTGAATTGCAACCCGTAAGGTCGAAATAGATAAAAACAAAAAGTTTATTATCTTTCACTACTTTTTGTATGAGAGCTATAACCAATCATAAATCCATCGTTTTAATGGACAAATCACAGAACAGTTGAGGTCAAATCATAAAATGGCTAAAACTTTAATAGCCTCTTCAAAGAAAATGACGATTACTTACACCCTAAAAGTAGTCTTATAATCGAAATATTAAGCATTTGAGAATCAATAAAAAATAAATGTCCCTTTATTCCTTGTACCTCCAATAATAGTAGTAAAAATGCAAGATCACATTGATAATAATACACATTTATTTATTGTTTACAATCATAAGGAATTAGTAAATATTCAGTAACTTGACAAAAGCCCAACTAACTGAATAGAAATATGAAGTCTGTAACATATGAAGCATAGGGGTAAGAAATTAAAGTCCAGTAGATAAATTACAATACTTTAATTGACTTCGATTTCAACTAATTGAAGTGCATTGATAATTTGTCTGGAATTGATAATTCCGTGCTCCGAATATATGGAAATGTGTATAAAACGAACTCATTTATATTAAAAAAATCCTACTGTTCGTGCCTAGAGAAAAATTAAAAATTATAACTGACTTCATTTTATCAGTATAAGTTGTTTTAGAGACCCATTTGACATATGGTAGATTCAAAGAAATAGGTAATGTTTCTATTATTTTGAATCCTGGGTTGAACATCAACCCTATGGTCTAGGCAGATTCAGCTGATGAGTCCCAAATAAGATGAAATGCGAGTCATGTATTCCATAGTTAGCCACCATGCAACTCTGCCTAAACTACGTTTGATTTAATTGGAATATCAAGGCAAGCCGCACAGAATGCAAGTATGCCAACTGACTGATCAATTGGAGTACAAAACACTTATCTGAAAAATTAAAAAAAACTAATGCAAATGTTATATGTTTACGACTGACTGATCACTGAGTAGTGACTAATGTGATGTATGTTAAGTCCTTCTTTAGAGCTGATCTATTTCTAACAGTCCAAATCCAATGCAGCAACTTACCTAAATGGATCGATATTGAGTGGTTGTTCTTCTTTCAGTAGAAGTAAAACGGTCATTCAAAATTCATTCTTTACCTTACTATCAAAAAGCTGATAGAAATAGTTGTGAAACCGATCTAATTTACAACAACCAACAGATTTAACCAAGAAGATCGAACAAAAATATCAGTCGATAGTTTCTATCGTTCACAAATAGGCTCATCAGTTATATATAGTCTGGTTAGTTCAACTTTGGTATTCAAACCGCTCGAATTACAAATTTAAGTGTAATTGAGTCATTTACTAGATCTATCTTTAATACTTTGTTCATAGTCTTAACTAATTGCTAACATACATAAGTTGCATTAATGTTATAAGTAGCTTTATACGAACATGATTACGTTTATCTGAATTAAATTAAAATTTAAACAATAAGTCTAAAATTGATTTGTATCTCATTTGGTTGATGATTACATTCCCTTGACAACTGTGAGAAAACAAGACAACAACAAGACAAATGTTTAGCATGCAATATTATTTCTTTATAATAAAAATAAACAAACTTTACAATTTATTAATTAAAATGACTAAGTACATAGAGAATTTTACATATTGTCTTATATATATTCGAAGCTAATCTTCTATTATTCCATTAGAGATAATGCATTCAATTTAAGTGTTTGTAAAGTAATCCATAAAAGATTTCCATATAAACTTATAGTTTTACTAACAGATACTACTGCTATTACTACTGATAATGGTAATATTTATAACGATAATAATTAAAATAAACAGCATTTTAAATATTCCAAGTTGATAAACAAGATTATACACAAAATGTGATGAAATATACTTTTAAAAATTCCGCTTCATTTTTTTCAAATTTTAAACAACGTTTATATGAAAAAGGATATGAAAGAAAAAACAAAATTTGGTTTTACACAAAAATGTTGAATGTTGACACTTTTTGAAAAATTGTTATGAAAGTTGTGCTGGATTTTCAGTAATTGTAAACGTTTCACCATCAATACATTTTGTTGTTATCATAGTATTATTAATGATACTATTGTTCAAATGTTCATTTTCTCTAAATGGTGATAATGCAGGTTGTACAAGAATGGATTTTGGAATAATAAAACCAGTGTTTATTTGATTATAGTGTGAAGATATTGTAGGAGTTTGTCTAGTTTGATAGTCATGATGTTCAGGTAATTCAACACTGATTCTTGTTGTAGGTAAAGAAGGGTTTGTTGATGTTAACATTTGGTTATGTAATGGTTCTATTGGTGCATAGAAATAACCAGTTAAGTATAAATTCCCTAGATTTTCGTTGTTATTCTCATTTCTGTTATCTGGTGTAATATTAATTAGATTAGTTTTACAATCACCTAAAACATTTGAATTTTGTTCAGCAAATGAATCAAATGTAAACTTGTCTTTCAGTAATGTTGAAGTTGTTGACGGGTTACTTGTTACTGATGTTGGTGATGGTGTATCGGATAGTAAGTATACACTTGTCGATATATCATGATATGGGGTGCTTAAATGACGTATTTTTGTTGGCTTTCGACTAACTGATCTGTTAAATCTGGTATTAGCTGGTGTGATGTGAGTAGGTGGTAGATATTCATATCGTGTATCTGTTGATGCTTGTGCTATAATATCTGATTTATTACACCATATAGGTTCTTTTTCATCAATTAAACTCCATGAATGTTTACTTAACGGTTCACTAGTAGTTGTTAAACAAGTTTGTTGACTTTCATATGGTAGACGACTTTTACAATGAGTGGAAATAGTTTTTATATGATTTTTATTTGTTAACTTGGCAATGTCATCCTCATCATATGACGAACGATGACATCTACATGACCAAATCAATATAACTGTTATTAAACTTCCAGTTAATAATCCACATATTACAACAAGTATCAAATGTGTTAGAGTGTAACCTTCAGCTTGAGTAGTGTAATTAATTCTTGATTTATAGTAGCTGGCTAGGTTATACAAAGAAAAAAAACAAAATGAATAATGAATAAAAACTTTTAAGAGATTCAATAATGAACAGTCAACAAACATTACCGGGGATTTTATTATATTCCAGTCGTTTAGACGACTGAAATAATGGTGTTAGAAAAATTTGTGGTTCATTTTGTAATATACTTTAAGAAAGATATTTAAATTAATACTTTTTTGGAATAACGTCGTTCATACTTCATCTTTAAATTTAGTTCATTCCCTGAATGAACATAGATCTGAATGTATTTCTTTTCATTAATTGAGAGCAATGAACGGGTTTTGTTATAGACTAGCATTTGTTTCAGACATTATATCTAAAAATGTGCAATTCGGTTATTGCTATTATTATTGTTACTAATAATGGCTTTATTCAATACTATATTTTTGGTACGATATAGAACTCTCAGCCTAGGGTATTTAAAAAGTTTCACAGAAAAGAAAACTGATAACTGCATACATATACACCGAGAGAAAAGAACAACTTGAACGAAGAAATTTCTTTTCAATTCGTTTTTCATCATGCCTATATATATATATATATATATATATATATATAATAACAGGTTAAAGGTCAGCAGTAATCAATCAAGATTGAGGTCAACAAGCCAAGCTGTAAGTCATATGTGGAAAAATTCAAATACCTCACTGACGTGTAGGCGAGAATGATAATGATTGGTTGTTTTGCTTAGTCAGACTTGTAGATAGTGTGACAGGTGTTATGTGTATTATATATTCTCCTGTCCTTATTATTATTTATTAATTGTCCATTTGTTTTTGGATTGTGTCAGTTTTGGTGTGGAAATATATTGACGTTCTAGTCAGGCTAATCACGTGTTCTTGATTTGAGTTGCGTTGAAGTCCTGTAGAGTAGATACTGAGAGGGGATCTAGTGTAGATATTCGTCTATGGTAAATTAACGTCCCATTCATGTAAAAAGGAAAACGGATCGTTTTTACACTCACTTGTACCTGACGTTTGTACTGATGATCTCATTCAGAAGAATGGTGATGAAATAGAAATCCTAGGAAAATTGTACACATTAAATTCATTTTGGTAATATATATTCATGCATTGAGTCCATAGTCAGCCATTTTGCTTCGATTTAAATTATAAGTACTTAAAAATTACAACGATTCCATGTTAATCAAAAGTCTGTGAACCTTTAGTGGTAATAATAATGATACTCCCCACTTTGTCACTGAAAGATACTTTGGAAATAAAATCAGTATATAACTTTCCATGTCGGGTGTGAAGCAGTTATCCACCGAAGACAATAGAAGATGATCACTTAATGTCACGGATTGACTGAGGTTAGACATTAACAACGTTGGATACCGGCTCAACGGTCTAAATGTTCAGGTTTTACGGTTGAGGTCAAGAGTCCTGGGTTTGATTCCTGGTTGTGGGACCGCGAATGCGCACCCATGAGGCGTCCCGTTCTAGAAAGTAACGACCGTCCACGGGTCTTATTTTTTTCAATGGTGGTTCAGTTTAGTCAGGTTTATGATTCCAATTAAACAACATAAAACTATTTAATTGGATGTTTATATTATATTTGTAAGTAGTTAAATGAAAATGTTATTTGATTACCTGATTTTGGTATGACATTGGATTTTTTAAACCAGCTGTCATCGTCCAAACAAGATCGTCGTTCGATACTACTTCCAGAACAAACTGCATTGGATCGACATTGCCTTTTCCGTATTTGAATATTAGTAGTTGGATCACAGTCACTCCAAATAGACCAAGGTAGCCAATTTTGATCGAAACCTTCAGGTAAATGAAAACTCTCACAGTTAATTTATTGTTGAGTATAGGTGAAAAATATGTGAATGTATGTAATGTTTCTGAATTGGAAGTATCTGGATTTTGCTTCAAAGAATAACAGACTTAATATCCTCTTCATAAACAATCCTTGCTCGTAAAAGCAACAGATTACTATTAGATTTGATGACTCTAGTCTGCTTACGTCGTTCTCTATGACAGAAAAAGACAACTATTTACAGTTGTTTAACTAAACATGACACGTAAACAATAATTTCCAGACAAATTAATTCAATCTCAACTAAAATAAAATTCCCACACTTTGAATCTTGTTTCTGTATGAATCACTTTGTAAGTTTTTTGAAATCTGTAATAGTTTGCTGCAGTGTAACCATGAAATAAATTCGCTACCATCATTTGTTCGCTACATCTAACATTACGTCTTCTCTGAAACTGCATTAAAAATGTTTACATCTGTGACTAGTGAAATTATAGGACCAATAAATGTCTGTTCATTTTTAGTACTGACCATAATTACTA